AAGTCATAAGAGAACTGAAGTATGAACCGGTTATAGTTCATTGATTATTTCTTTTCTACGTGTCTCAATATAGTTGGGGGGGGGGGGGAATGTCAAATGATTTGACAAACGTGTGCTTTAGATCCTAAGTTCTGGACTCAAGTGGCTTGGTTCGATCCCAAGGAGTAGGGTTTTCGTTGTGTCTTCCCATTTCTTTATAATTATGTGCATGTGAATTATTGAAATAGAATTGTACCATTTTTTAGTCCAGAAATGACCTAGTTTGTGTTGAGTGGACACTAAACGCCATTGCTCTCTCAAGCCTTTTTCTTAGTTCATATGTAAGAAGCAGTTGTTTATGTCGTCGATTATTTTTTAGCAGGGGAAGATATTATTATTAACGGGACCATCTGGAGCAGGTAAAACGGCCACCATACAAGTTTTATGTCAGGAGTTAAACCTAGAGCTACAAGAATGGTCAAATCCTCTTCAACCAGTACATACCATGGAGAACAACACACAAGATTACTGGAGTAAGTTATATACTAATGTACAACACTTCGGGCCACAAACACTAAATCTAATTACCTGTAGTTATTTCCTTATATCACCTATTAATCATCTGTGGCTGAAAGTTATTTCGCATAATTAAACGCAGATAATAAATTTGAATCACATCCTTTGTTTAGCTTGAAGAAATGGCCCATTGATATTAAAATAATTCCCCTAGCAAGGCAGGTCATTGATCACCAGTTCAAATAAATTCTATTATTATTTTGTAAATTCACAAGATGTCTGGGTTTTTAGGGGAGAGATATTGGAATAGGCTCCGTGCATAAGTACGGTAATTCTGTCCCAGTTTTGTTTTCAGAAACTTATACAAACATTATAGTAGTTTTGCTTTTTGTTAATTAGACATTTCTGATTTGAAAATGTTTTGTATTTTCATAAATACAAATTTAAGTTAGATATCCATCACTTTGCAGATATATCAGGACGGAGGGCCTGGCAAGGAAAGTGTCTAGTCATTTGGATGGGAAGAAAAACCAAGGTCCCTTGTACACCTTAGCGTGTAGGTAAAATATCCCTTGGTATTTGGTATTCGATATAAGAGAAGGCCATAGTGCTGCTGCCTGGGCAAAATTTCCCTCATAGCACACTGTATTACATATATACCCGTCTTCAGTTAAGGAGCAGAACAGTAGGACGTTAAACCCTATTTCATTTCTTTTCTTTGCTGATAGATACAAACTACAGGGAAAAATACATTTTCAATTCACAATCACCTAATACGATATGACATACTTCAAACAAAGCTCATAATTCCATTCTCCTAATTCTGCATATCTTTAGAACTTCAGATATGTTGTGTATTTATTTATTTTTTTTTTTTTTAGGTCGTTCACGTGTTGATATTGGAAACTCTGATTCCCAACAATCTAAGTTTGAAAACTTTGTGTTACGAGCTAATAAATATCAGTCTTTACAACTGGATGGAAAGGGAGATAATCCACACAGTAATGGTAAAATAATCCTTGTTGAGGTAAACATACTTAATTTAGCTATTAATAATTGAGGTCATGTTGATTTTGCGGGGACTAGTGGTTTAAAACGTACTTTTGAAATCACGTTGGGAGTTAGATGGTCGAATGGTTAGCGCGTGTGCGTTGTATCATAAGGTCTGTCATTGAGTCAAATGGCGTGGTTTGGATTCCCCGGTTGTATGTGACAAGGAGAAGGGTCACCTGTCCAACCTTGTGGGTTTTCTCAGGGTCATCTGGTTTCCTCCCACTGCTAAAAGACCCCTACGAAATATTGAAATAAATTGAACCATGTGAGTCCAAAAATAACCTAGTTTGTGTCTAGTGGACGTTAAACCCCATCTCTCTCTCCCTCTCCCTCTCTCTCTCTCTCTCTCTCTCTCTCACAGTTCCTATTTCATTTCGTTTTTTATAGTTCAAAATTTTGTTTTACTTGTCTTTACTACACTTTATAACCTGCGTTCTGGATGATGTGAGGGATTAGCTAATGAAACGGTCTGTTATGGCGAGTTTTTGTCATGAGGTGCACAGAACTGTGGGTAACCTATTAGAAACATCAACGTTGATTGGTTAATCAAATGTCTGACGTTCATAGAGTCAAAAGCCACTCGTATTACCCCTGACGCGACCTTCCAGTAGTGTAGGCCATCCATAGTATAAAAAAATGAAATAAAATATAGATCTGTATTTTAATTAGATTGACTGACAGGTATATATATATTCTCCAGGTAGTCAATTACACAGCTAGTCAGTCTAAAATATGATCATTAAGCCTAATTTTATATGTAAATTAATAAACTACTTTTATTTGGATATAGGAATTTCCTAATGTATATCTCAGAGATCCAACCTTATTTCATAATGTATTAAGGTATGTCTCTCTATTTATATTAAATTGTGGGGTTGGGTGGCCGAATCCTTACTGCATGGTTTCGAATCCCCGGTTGTATGTGACAAGGAGTAGTGCCACCTGTCCAACCACATGGGTTTTCTCCGGGTCCTCTGGTTTCCTCCCACTGCTATAGACCCTTACGCGCAAGCGAATTATTGAAATAAAAATGGAACCATGTGTTAGTCCTGAAATGACTTAGTTTGTGTCGAGTGGGCGTTAAACGCCATTTCTCTCTAGCTCTCTTTCGTCGAGTGTTCGATCCCTGCATTGTCCGAGAAAGTTCATCCAGATTTTCCGGCGTGCTTCCCCCTTGTCAATGATACAGGACGGGGAGGGCCTGACAAGGACAGCTGTCTAGTTGTTTGGATGGTACGAAAAACTGAGGTCCCATGTTCACATTGGCGTACACGTAAAATATCCCTTGACAGTTGAAATTCGATATAAGAGTAGGCCGTAGTTCCGCTGTCCGGGCAGAATTTCCCTCATAGCACTGTATGGCATATGCCGTCTTCATTAGCCCAGTTCGGAGCAGAACAGTAGGACGTTAAACCCCATTTCATCTCTCTCTCTCTCTCTCTCTCAATTAAATCTTTGTTAGTTAATAGTGGTTTTTATTTTTATATATATTTTCTCTCTATTCAGGAGATATTATCGAGTGGGCCAATCAGCTCTTGTATTTATTATCAGTGATTCTAGTCGTGGGGATTCTAAGGAAAGACAACTCTTTCCGACTGATTTACAACATGAACTCTGTGTTAATAATATAAGGTAATGTTTCAATTTACAAGAAAGAAATTGTCTATTGTTTTATTGTCTCTTCAAAGTCAAAAATGGCATTGGAACTTTTGTGGTGTGTCACGCTGGCTAAGTGAGTAAGACCCTAGCTCGCTAGTCTAGAGGTCGTGGGTTCGATCCCAATGTTGGCCAAGAAAGTTCATCAGGATTTTCAGGCATGGTTTCCCATTGTCAGTGGAGCAGGACGGAGGGCCTGACAAGGACAGCTGTCTAGTTGTTCGGATGTGACGGAAAAATTGAGGGTCCATCCACACTTTGATATGCCGGTGAAAGATCATTTGGCTTTTGTAATTTGATATAAGGTTAGGCCACAGCGCCACTGTCCAGGCAAACTTTCCCTCATAGCACACTGTATGGCATAAGCCCGTCTTCATTAGCCTAGTCGGGGGAGAACAGTAGGACATTAAACCCCATTTCATTTTGGAACTCTTGTAATAATAAACACAACTTACTATAAATTGCAATTCAATATTATGTGGTGAAAAATAGTGCACAATAGCCCTGAAACCTTTCCAAAAATGTATTTGAATAGGACTGTTGGGACAAAGAAATGTTCACTTCAGTACAATTCCATGGCAAGTTAATCAGAATTACAGTCCTTCACGTTGATGGTGCGCTTTCGCTCCCGCTCCAGCTCCTCTCGACGCACTTTGACTTTCCTTTGCGGGAGAGGGGGGTTAGATGGCCGAATGGTTAGCATGCGTGCGCTGTATCATAAGGCCTGTCATTGAGTCAACTGGCGTGGTTTCGAATCCCCGGTTGTACGTGACAAGGAGTAGGGTCGCCTGTCCAACCTCGTGGGTTTTCTCCAGGTCCCCTCCGGTTTCCTCCCACTGCTAAAGACCCCTACGCGCAAGCGAATTATTGAAATAAAATTAAACCACATGTTAGTCCCGAAATGACCTAGTTTGTGTTGAGTGGACGTTAAACCCCATTTCTCTCTCTCTCTCTCTCTCCTTTGCGGGAGTCATTGGAGACCGACGCAAATTAGATAAATCGCTCTCCTAAATAATGAGATTAATTAACTACTTTCAGTTTTTGTTTATTTTTGAACTGCATACGTTTGAGCTATTAGTTTCCATGGAGGTAATTCAAATGCTACCATATTCACCAAACAGATTGCCCTCGTTTTCATTCTGATATCGAATGCTAATGTTAGGCATTATCTTCCATAAGAACATATACATGTACACTTGTAAAGAGAATATTAAACAAGACTAAAGCATAAATACAATTTGGCTCTCCTTAATCCATGAAAATGTAGAATTACTCTCGCAGTATAATTAAGAAAAGGTTTTTTACAGGAGCTTTTTTTCATTTTTGAAATTTGCAGGAGCTTTTTATGGCTCCGACATAATTTCATAAACGTGAAGGACGAAAATTATAAAACTTTCAATTATATTTACAAATCAAATGTTTAGTATATAATATTGTATTTGTTTTAGCTATAACCCAGTAGCACCAACCATGATGGTAAAAGTATTAAATCGTATATGTAGTATTGAAAATAAAGTAGGTGGTTTTAGTCCAGCTACATCTGTGATAGAATCTATAGCTATGTCTAGTACTGGAGATATAAGATCAGCTATTAACGCACTGCAGTTTGCCTGTAGACAAGGTTAGTTGGTTTCATGTATATATACCATAGAATAGATATATGAATTCCCTGTAGACAAGGTTAGTAGGTTACATGTGTACTAATATATATGTAGGTTATGTATACTATTAAAAAAAATCCTATAAATTCCCTGTAGACAAGGTAAGGGTACATGCATTCCATAAACAAACTATAGTTTGCCTGTAGACAAGGTTTGTAGGGTACATGTACTGTAGACAAGATTAACACACTGTAGACACAGCACCTTTATGTCTGGTAGGGCTTTCTACATTGTCCCAAGATCCTTTGACTGTGGATAATAGCTAAAATACTTACTTTTGCCCCAAAATATCTATCACTACTGCTTGAAAATAGGTAATTGCATCTTTGAGGGTTTGAAGACTCCCGTGAACTTCCTGCATGTTACGCCCATAGTTTGATACCAGAAATTTGCATAGTAGTCTAAGATAGCTTTTCTCTATAACTAGGAAATTCCAGTGTTGGCTGAGAAAGTTGTTCAGGTTCTTCCAGTCTGGTTTCCCTTTACAGGTTTAGTTATATCATTGACTGCACCTTTAACATTCCCTGGTGACTGGAAACAAAAGTAAAAGTAGGCTGGACAAAATTTCTCGCATGGCATTATACCCATATTCATTAACCAGGTGGTTGGTGGAAATATGTAAGATGTTATACACCAGTTTATTTCATTCGTACTAGAGTAAAACAAAATGTTTTCTATTTTAGATACGTTTGATTTAAACTCAACATGTAAATCACAGAAATCAAGCAGGAAAACAGGAAAGGGTTCAGGTAGCAGATTAAAATATGAATCCAGTAAGAAACGAGATTCTTCTAAAACATCTTCCGAGGCAGAACTTGCTGGAATTGGTGCTAGAGATACTTCATGTTTTTTATTTCATGCTATTGGAAAAATACTCCACTGTAAACGTAAGTTGGTGAAAACAAGTTTTATATTGTTAAGTAGAAATTATATTTTTTTAGTGAATGAAATTTTTTAACCATTTTGTGTATGAATAGAGAGAGAGACAGACAGAGTTTAACCTCCACTCGACACAAACTAGGTCATTTTGATACTAACATATAGTTAAATTTATTTCAATAATTCGCTTGTGTGTAGGGGTCTTTAGCAGTGGGAGGAAACCGAAGGACCCAGAGAAAACCCACAAGGTTGGACAGGCGACCCTACTTCTTGTCACATACAACCGGGGAATCGAAACCATGCCAGTTGTCTGAATGACAGACCTTATGATGCAAGTTGCATGTGCTAACCATTAGGCCATTCAACCCCCCTGAATTTTAGGAATGGATATAATTTTCTTTGGCTGACAATACTTACATTGTGGTAAATAATTTTATTAGAACAAAAGATGTTGGCTTAATTTATCCATAAAATCTTGCTAAAACCATCAAGGTAGTCCAGTTCTACAATGGTTACCTTCTTCATTAGCTCAGTTGGGGCAGAACAGTAGAACGTTAAAATCCATTTCATTTTATTTTCTAGTAGTCCAGTTCTACAATGGTTAAATATTTATTATTACATTTGATCTGTTATAATACTTTGAGAAAGAAAAAAGCAAAACTACATAATTGACTAAGAAGAGCTAAGATTTCTTCAATGAGAATGCAAAATTTTTAAATGTTTAAGTTTTCATAAAAATCAAAAAACACGATACTTGAAGAATAATCACAAGACAGATACTTTAATAATCACTAGATAGGTACTTGAATAATCACAAGACAGATACTTGAACAATCAATCAATCTGTTCTGGTAACAGATAGATTTGCTAAAAGTACTTTTTTATAATTTCTATATTTAATCAGGAGGAGATCCATCAACGTATGATAATCTTCCCAGATTACCATCACATCTGTCTCATCATGAAAGACATCCACTTTTAATTAATCCAGAGGTAAGCTTTCTCATTTGTTTATCATGTTTAAGGGTCAATATTCCTGACTAAAAGGTAAAGACAAACTGTCAGACCAAATGCAATAAAATGTAATCTTGTCAAAAAATAAATCCGTCTTTGTGTATGGTTGTGTATCACTTTATTTGGGTTTCTTATTGTCTTAGAATTGCCTGTCAACGGCTGAAGGATAATTCATTTCTATACATGAAAATCAATCACTTTTCAGGCCTTAGTTTTCATTTTAAATAATGAAAAAGTTTATTGACCTTCAGTACATACATGATTCTCTGAGTGGAGGAAGCCTGCCATTTTAAGAAAATATTTGTTCTTCTGAATATTGAAACTAATCTATTTAAATAAAAAAATGCTAAGTGATATTAAATTAAAATGATAATTTATTTTAGGATGTTGTAGAAAAAAGTCAAGTATCAGGAGATTACTTTGCTTCGTTTTTACATCAGAATTACGTAGATTTTTATACAGATATTGATGATGTAGTAAACGCTAGTGAATATCTTAGTCTAGTCGATACCTTCTCTTCACAGTGGTCTGTAAGTATACAGTTCATCAGTTACCATTCATTGGGATGGGACAAAAAACTAAAGTCCCGTGTATACATTGGGGTGCACGTAAAAGATTCCCTGGCAGTTGGAATTCGATATAAGAATAGGCCATAATGCTGCTGCCCGAGCCAAATTTCCCTCATAGCACACTGTATGGTGTACACCCTTCATTAGCTCGGTCAGGAGCAGAACAGTAGGACGTTAAACCCCATTTCACTTCATTTCTATAATTACTAGTATTGGCTGATAATTGACGAAATTTCTGTTTATTAGTGATTGTTGATAATCGTAAAATTCAAAAGAAAGATTCTCTAGATGTGGCTTAATGTCTATATTTCGATATCAACAGATTGTTAGTAATTGGTGGCAAATTTATATAATTTGCAAATCAAATAAAATGACCTTTATTTTATCTAGAGGTGGCATGTATCTAAGTGGATGTATATCCTCAAATTTGGATATTTTTGGAATTTCTGATATTTGAATAAATGTGCTTGTGTACCAAAGATGATGTTTGTCCTCCATTTTGGTTATTTTAGCAATTTCTGATTTTTGAATAAATGTGGCAGTGTTTCTTGTGGGGGTTCTTGATTTTCAGTCCTGATCGTCCCATATTGACAGAATTGCAATCAAGTGATGTCACAGTTCTGCCATTTCCAACAGCTGAGGTGGTATGAGTAGAATCGTGACGTATTTTAAGTAATAAATATGTTTCAGCCGTCATGATTGGTTAAGATATTTTTTATGCAGTCGGCACATGCGTTGTACTTCGAAATTCTCCTTTTCACTCTATTGATACTATTTTTGGAATTGAGAGAATTCCGGAACGTTCAATTGAGTATTCCCTGTCTTTATTAGATCATTGGTGCAGTATGATGTTAAACCCAATTTCTTTTTATTTCTAGCAAAATTTCTTTATAAAGAACCAAATTTATCTATTTGATCAACACTAAATTACCTCATTTATCATTATGAGCTAAATCATGTACCATTTATATTTTTATTCAGACTAAAACAGCTTTACAGAACTATGCTACTTCCCTAGCATCAAGGGGAATTATTCATGCAAATACATCGAATGCTAAATTTGATGCACCCAGATCTGGAATAGGCTGGCGACCATTACACAAATCACAGTGGTTCACAGTACAGAGACAGGTATTAATATTAGATCAATCAATTCATTAGATCAATTTACTACAGAAATGAGTATTAATATAACATCAGTTCAGTACAGAAATGAGTATTAATATAACATCAGTTCAGTGCAGAAATGAGTATTAATATAACATCAGTTCAGTACAGAAATGAGTATTAAAATAACATCAGTTCAGTACAGAAATGAGTATTAATATAACATCAGTTCAGTACAGAAATGAGTATTAATATAACATCAGTTCAGTACAGAAATGAGTATTAATATAACATGTACAGAAATGAGTATTAATATAACATCAGTTCAGTGCAGAAATGGGTATTAATATTAGATAAATTCATTAGATCAATTCATTAGATCAATTCAGTGCAGAAATGGGTATTAAGAGTGTATCCGCGAGAAGACCATGCAAAAAGTGCTAAGATGGGGGGTCGGAAGTTTTTGATCAAACTTATGGTATGACACCCCCTAGGGGCAAGAGGTAACATGCGGAAGTGGTTACAGTCTGATGTCGCTCTAAAGGACTGTACAGGAATTATTCATTTTATGGTTAAAATTGCGGTTTTCACATGTGTATTTATCACCTTTTTTAAGCACAGACTGCATTCTATGGTGGAATAGCAACCTTCTAATTTTGACCCTGTCTGATAAAGCGGGTGGTCAACTTCTACCCCAGCACTCATTTGAAAAATAAAAATCAGTACATACTAATTTTGTGTGGACTTGTTTTAGGGTACCATATTCACATTGTCCTTATAGTGCAGAAAAAGATACACTGTAACTTTTTTTTTCATGGTCGCAAGTAGAATTTCTTTGGATGGTTTTGAAGTGCTAAGCACATAGTATCCATAGGTGTAAAAAAAATGACCGGAATGCAACATACTTAAAATATACAGCTTATTGAAAAGTGCTAAAAAAAAGCTTTTGTGATACATTATTTTGCGAATTTAATTAGAGAAATAAAAATTTTGACTTTTATATGTTTTCATCATATCCATAGCCATTATTTGTACCATGTTGTACTCTATATAAGTGTGTATTTGTATTTATTGTATATTTGGTATTGTCGTATTGTCCCTTTAACTTATTTGTTGTATTGTCTCTTTAAGATTTCATTTTCAAACAAGTTACCGAAAATGGCTACAAAATGTTTAATTTCAGAGCATGTTTCCACTATTCATTTTGGGACACATCCACTGATTTCTACAATACAGAAATGTGGAAGCTTAAATATTAACGGCAACGAAGCCTAATTGCGTCAAAGTGGGTGACATTGAACAGTGTAGTATGGTAGCTACAGCTCTCGGGCACCGTCAGGGCCGGATTTAGAATAAGAGAGGCCCCAGGCAAACCCCCTGAACAGGGCCCACGACATGGACCTTGGGGCCCTGGGACAAGCAACTCGGTGAGAGGGTGGGTCGGGGGAAGTCATGCGGTTGGTGGTTCGAATCTCACTTTTAGGTGAATTTTTCATTTTCGTTGGATTATTTTATTTAAAATAATGTCTATTTGAGAGTAATGGATATGTTTGTTAAGATTGAGCTCGTCGAAACTCCAATGGAAGGTCGTGGACAACTGCAGAAGTCAATTCCCGTTGACGCCAGATTAGCCATGAACGATTACAGGCCTTTGAAAGTATTTTTTTTTCAAGATATTTTTATAAAACAGATACTAATGTATTTTAGGGCTGGTAGTAAACACCATATGAATGAAAAGGAAAATAAATTGTTAGTTTTTTTTATCTACTACGGTTAATTATCTCCAAAATAGGGAAATTACAGGTTAATTTCATGGGTTATTGTTTCCTTTACCTAGTTTTTGTCAAGTCGATTCCGGTCATTTTTATTTTTTGTATCAAATGTTGGGAGGTTGCTTGTTCACGTGAGCATAAATTTTTTAAACCCACCCCATGAAAGAAGTAGCTATAGGGCGTCAAACTTTGGGTGACAAAAAATGGGGAATTTAGACAGGCTTTGATATCCAGTCCGTATACAGATCTCGTTCGCCAGAATCGTCTGAAGTTAATATTGTGGTAACAGCACTGCGTCATCGATAAACTGTGTGAGTTTGGTCTTTCTGCTACTTATAGTAAAGGTGTATGGACTTGCCAAAGTTGGTATTTTAGAAAAGACAGATTTTGGCAATTTCAACATATGTAAAATGTTTTTTCAATTTTCTCATACAGGAATTGAAAGATTTATCTAATATTGCACATTTATGTGTTTTGGGACTATCCCAACTTATAAACCAAATTTGGTCAAAATCTGTGATTGAAGCCTTAGCACCTTCTGCATGGTTTTCTCGCGGACACGCTCTTAATATAAACTGTACTTATAATTACTTACCCATTGTTTTATTTACAAAAATCAGAATATATGTCACAATTGTGTTAGCAGTGTCTTTAATGCATCATTATTTATAATCAATGATCATATCATTAAAATCTTTATTTTATAGGCAAAAAAGAATTCAGAAACAGCATGTAGTCTTTTCAGAGGTAAGTAAAGGGTGTTGATCCTTGGTGAGTAAAGGGCAGCTCACTTGACCAAGAAAGTTACCCAGGAATGTACCCGGTGGTTTCCCCTTGTTAGTAGTAATACAAGGTTCCCACTATCATGATTCGCGCTATGATTGAAATCGTGGTTTTATTTGCGGAGTAATCATGATGATCATATCAGGCCTTATCATATATTTTGGTCAGTGGTAACAATCGTGTTGATTGTATCGAGAGGTATCTGAACGCATTTGCACACACCAGATCGTGAACTCAATCAGGACCAATCTGATTAAAACACAGATCATATTTCATTTTGTTTTTTATAGTTCAAAACTTTGTTTTACTTGTTTTTACTACACTTAGATCTGGAAGAGTTGTTATATATCCCACCCTATGGATAAGGTGAGGGATAGCCAATGAAACGGTCTGTTATGGTGAGTTTTTGGTGTGGCATGCACAGAACTATGGGTAACCCACCAGAAACATCAAGGCTGATTGGTTAATCAAATATCTGACGTCATAGGGTCAAAAGCCACTCGTATGACCCCTGACGCGACATTCCACGACAACCGGTCAGATCTTCATGTAGTAGAGGTCATCGAAAGTATAAAAAACCAAAACGAAATATAGATCTGTATTTGAATCAGATTAAATCGGAACAATCCTATCGTAACACATTGCACAACAGTGGGACCCAAGCATAACGGCCAGAGGGCCTGGCAAGGAACAGCATCTAGTTGTTGAGATGGGAATAAAAACTAAGATCTGGTACTGACATGTATGTAAAGAAACCTTGACAGTTAGAATTTGATGTTGAGACGGCAGCGGTCATTTTCAAAGTTAAAGAGAGAGAGAGAGAAAATGGGTTTAATGTCCACTCGACACAAAATAGGTCATTTTTGGACTAACATATGGTCTGGATAAGTTAATTAATGTCTTATTAATAATTTAGATAACATTTCAGGCCTAAAGAAAGACCTGCAATTGGCAGATTTAGATCTGGCATAATGTATATTTAAATGAAAGAATTAATTACTTGTTATTTTGTTGTAACAGGATATCATTGGGAACCTGAAGTTCTATGGACAGAAATTTTACCAAATCTGAACAGAATAAACGTTACTATGAGAAATCCAGGTAATTTAAATGGAGCTGTGTTATTTAGGGAGTCACGGTGGCTCAGTGAGTAAGGCACTGTCTCACTAACCAAGAGACCATAGGTTCGATACTGGTGTTGGCTGAGAAAATTTCCAGTCTTTTTCCAGAACGGTTCATCTTTGTCAGTGATGCCGTGGTCAAGTCATTCGCATAGCACAAAAAGCAAGGTCCCAGTGTATACTTTGGCGTGGATGTAAAATAACCCTTAACAGCTGGAATTCAAAATAAGAGTAGGCGCTGCTGTCTGGGCAGAAAAGTAGGATGGTAAACCTAGGATCATGCCAATATATACACAGGACCCCAGTTTTCCGTCCCATCCGAATGACTAGACAGCTGTCCTTGTCAGATTCTCTGTCCTGCACCACTAACAAAGGGAAACCATGTAGGCCCTTGTCATGGAAACCTTGTAATCACTACAACAGGTCAAAGCGTTTCTGGTTTTGTTGGGGGTTTTTTCAAATTGATGGAATTGATGAAACAAACCAAAAATCAAAATCTTGCTTTTATTATTTAGAGAAAACGCATGTCCAATAGTATGCAATTCTGAACTTTTTTAAAGCATCATGATCATAGGCTATAAAAACCTGTAAAATATTTGAGAGTACCATTGGATTACGTGGCTGTGTGTGGGATTTTGTTTCAGTTTTTGGAAATTCTGCATGTTGAATATGTTAATAACCCTTGATATCAAAAGATTTAACCTTTTAGGACTTTTGTCTTTTCAGCACAGATCAGTTTTATTCAAGAAATGGGAAGATTTTGTCAAAGATCATTTCAAAATAAGTAAGTAGGTTTCTAATATTGAAGAAATACTCTTACATTTAAGGATTTGCAAACTAATATTTATTTATGGCGAATCTAAATATATTAATTTGGTTGAAATGTGCAAATCAAATGTGATAAAATAGTTTGTTTGATTTGTCTAAAAGTTTCAAATCAAAATGCTGAGTCATTCTGAAATAGGGTACCATATAGTGGCTAATGAGTAAAATATTGGCTCGCTAACCTGGAGATCCCGTGTTAGAGCCCTGTGTTGACCCTTGTCAGTGGTTTAGGACGGCGGGCCTGGCAAGGGATAACATATAGTCATTCAGATGGGACCATAAACCTAGTTAGAGCAGAACAGTAGGACGTTAAACTGCATTTCATTTTCTTCTGAAATGATCACTAAACTGAATTGACAGTGTTACATGACTTAAAATATCAAGTTGTTCACTTCCCACAATAATTTCAGCAAGACCCCTACGAGCAAGGGAATTATTAAAATAAAATTGAACCATATGTTAGTCCCGAAATCACGTAGTTTGTGTTGAGTAGAAATTAAACCCCACCTCTCTCTCTCTCTCTCTCTCTTAGATATCAAGTTATTCACTTCCCACAATAATTTCAGCTAGCATAATAGACATGGTTATCCTGGCATTTATATAGTTTCAAATTTCCAATCCTACAAAAAACTAGAATGATTGTATTTCATTGAAAAAGTATCTCAGAGCTTCAGATATTTTTATGTGACTAGGATACGAGTTTCTATGGCCTTCTCAAACAGATTTGATAATTTTTTATTTGCCCAAATATGGCAGTACTGGATTGAACATTCTGGAATGCTTACTATTTTTTTGTTTTGACTAGGGCTGTGTATTGCGGCCAAAAATCGTATTGCAATATATCATGATACTCATAGGCGTACGGGGAAATTTTTTACTGGGGGGGGGGGGGCGGTGGTGGTTGGTGCCCCAAAAATGTAGTTAGGTTCTTAGTATGTTACATAATAATCATAATATCTCTTTTGCGATGAATAAGTTCTTAATTTCTAAATCATCAATAAAGAGAACTAAATTTTATTTACTTGTAATATACACAACTAAAAACAGTTGTTTATGTAACTGTAATTTGTGGCTTACTGTACTCCAAACAATAGAGGGTTCGAGTCTTAAGATTTCTATTTAAATGCCTAACTATAGACACTCTGAATTTAAATCTCTGTTAAATTGGACGCATTCAAGAACACAATATTTTTTTATACAACTTTTACAAAGTACAATTGTGTGCCCAAATTTTCCCAGCATTTGGTGCCCAAAATGGGGGTCAGCCGCCCCCCCCCCCAGCCCCCCCAGCTCGTACGCCTATGATGATACTTTACAAAAAGTATTGCAATATATTGCAGTATTGCAATACTTCGATAATGTCAAGGTTTATCACAAACAGTTTTACTTTGAATATTTTTATTGTTTTTACAACTTTGGTCTTTGACACTTATTTTTTTACTGCAAAGCCTAAAATTTGACTGATTATGAAGTCTTTATGAACAGTCTAGCTAACATTTGAATGTAAAATAAAAGTAGAAAAATATCGATACAACAAAAATGTATCGATACAGTGTATTGCAGACGATTGTATTGCAATACGGGAGCCATGGTGGCTAAGTGGGTAAGACGCTGGCTCGCTAGCCTGGATGTCGCGTGTTCGATCCCTGCATTGACAGAGAAAGTTCATCGTCAATTTTCCGACATGGTTTTCCTTGTCAGTGGTGCAGGTAGGAGGGCCTGACAAGGACAGTTGGCTTGCAGGCAGTTGGAATTCGATATAAGAGTAGGTCACAGTGCCGCTGCCTGGGCAAAATTTCCCTCATAGCACACGGTATGCCGTATGCCCGTCTTAATTAGCCCAGTCGGAGCAGAGCAGTAGGACATTAATACCCATTTCATTTCATTTTCATTGTATTGCAGTATATCCATATAGAAATATTTTTTGACAGCCCTAATTTTGACTGATTATTTCATTTTCTTAGGGGCGAGAAATTGGATGAGCATGAGGTAGTAGATGCTGACAATGAAGATACGACTTCACTTCCTGTCACTCAAAAATTCGACCAACCAGGAGACTTGATTTCTGACAGCCAATCAGAAGTAAAAAATAAAACTGTTGAAGAAGAGGAAGATGAAAAAGAAGTAGAAATTGATGAATATTTCGACTCTGATTGAATAATAAGACTTAATTAAAACTGAGATGAAAACATGAGACCTATTTAATTCTGAAATTATATGGTTGTGACAAAGAATATGACAAATATATACTAATGTGTATACAATCAGTAATCAACATGGTTGCTATGGTTACCAACTCTCTGAGCCTATTTCTAAACTAGCTATTCTAGTAATAAAATTTAACCTCTGATTTGCGTCCTACGGAAAATTAAAGTAGTGTGTGATGTCATTGAGCAGTGGTCTGCTTTTGGTTATTGTGGTATATTCTAGACCAATCTAGACCCCTAGAAAAATGTGAGTAATGTGTGATGACTTAGTGAGCAAACCCAACATAATTTGCAAACTTTGGTTATTCTAACTGATGATAGATCTGATGGAATTTACACTATATGTTGTATTTCTTCACTTGACATTCGCCATATTGGAATATCTATGGGGAGTATGTACAGAGTGAGTGATATTTACAGATATTTACTATGTATCTCTATACAATTTATAACTTATAGGCGTACATGTAAACATGTAGCCCTTTACCTTGTGGTAAATTCAATGTTAATACAATTTCAGACGAAAATTATCTCTCAATCTGATCATCTATACAAGTCGGGGTTAAAGTAGAGTTAAAAGTTTGCAATTTATCTGTTTCACTGGACATAGAAATCTTCACAGGCAACTTGAAGGAGTTATATGAACCTCTAAGTGGCATAAAGTATATTGTAAAAAAATTACAAGTGTATAATAATTAAAAAAGACAAGAATGAGATTTTGTTTATCACCAAGTACCTTTCATAGTTTAAAAAGAAAAAATAGATATTAATTAGATTGAATTTATAAAAGTAGGTTGAAACTATATCTTCAAGGAGGTATTGTTGGGCTATAGCTAAATACCAAACCAACAATATTACCTGTGCTAGAGATTATTGGCTCATAATTAAAGTAGTAGATAGCAATCGTTTTCCAGGTTGTTATTTAAAATAAAAATCTAACCCTTGAGCTCCTAGGTTTTATTTCAAATAACAATATTGGAAAGAGATTGCTATCTAATCAAGACAAACTTTATAAATAATGCTACTTTTACTTTATAAATGTAAAATTCACAGCATGTTTTTATTTGAGGTTAATATTACCTCAATATCAACCCCAAATGACTTTACAGAATTTTGATACAGGGGCAGGGGCGGATCCAGGAATTTTCGCAGGAGGGGGGTTGCCAGGCTCCTGTTAAGGAAATTTGACAGTTGACAATGCATGATGCCATGATGTCTCTTAATTATGTAGGCATAAATAGACATTGAGGTTTTGAAAGAGAGAAATCCAACACCTCGATTGATGTTAATTTATATAATGAATTAATAGGATCACATTGTGATTCAATTTCATTGATGTAAAGCATTAAAATGTGATATCACATATGTCTATATTATTATCTGGTGCTTTGAATGCCCATCCCATCCCCACTGTCTAATGATAAAGGATAAAACACACGACCATTACACTTTTCCCATAAAGTGTTGTTTTATAATTTTCTTTATGTAGCTGAGCAGTGTTGGTTTGGTTTGCCCCCCCCCCTCCACCACCTCTGGATCCGCCCCGTGAGGGGAATAGTTTATTTAACTTGAGGTGTGTAAAGTATTTATTATATTGTAGATATACATGTATATATTATATTGTTATGTTAATGTATGAACCATGCTTAGATTATTATAAGTGCTATTATTAAAATATCATGGTTAATTTACAATATGAGATTTCTGAATTACTTGTTGACATGTGAAATAAATTATTTTCAAGATAATTAATGGTTTCCTCATCTTTAAAGAAATGGCTTTTGTTTGTTATGAAGTATCTAGTTTGATGTCTCTTGGAATCTTATGTTAGCTCCAGAATGATCAGATTTTTGTGACCTGAAGAAAAAAACTCTGAAAGTTAAAATGACAGTTACCTGAGGATACCGCGTAACTTTTACTCATTGAGAATAAATTCATCTTGATCTGTATATTATATTACCTGTTACCATACGTAATGGTTCACTTACCTGGAAGTCAGGGGTTCCATCACGGTGGTGGCCGCAAAGTTTCCCCGGGATCTTCTCTTGTCAGTGATGTAGGGCTGACGCCTCAACAAGGGCCGTGTCTTGGCGTTGAACGAAACACCCAGGTCCAGTCTACGCGCTGGGATGCAAATAAAAGAACCTTTGGCAAATTCCCCTCATAGCGCTTGTTTGAGGTTGGAAACTTTATTTAAATTTCACACGTTATGCATCTGGAGAGTAACGACCCAGCCAACCAAATCGGGCTAAAGAACAAGAAGTGATTGATAGGACGGTCAGTTAATTAAACCATTGTGTTTTCTCACAATACCGAAATCAAATATATAACAAGAACAACGATAGGTTTTTTCTATACCTTTTTCACACTGATCAGCTGTGAATTTTCGATAGGCCGCTACAATCACTGATAAGGATGACATCGATGCGACTTAATGAGTCCCAAATATTAACTTTTTTCTTCTGTCAAATTAAATACTAAAACATTTTTTTCATTTATTAGAAAAATAAATAAAGACGTTTGAATTGTTTGTAGATAAAAATCATTTCCTATTTAGTGTAAATGGGTATTAAAATAAGTAAAATTCAACATTTATCCCGAATCAGTAACGTCTTATTTAAACAATGCACGCGCTATTGAGCCAATGATTGACGCCGCGTGATGTGACGTCACGTGTCGAAAAAGTCATCTGTTACAGATATATTAGAAGATCTCTGTGAAACAGATTGTACGTTTTTATGCCACAACAGTTGCACAATAGTCTACATTACAATATTTAAAATTAACATCTCTTTCTCTCAACCCACTCGTGTTTAGGACCATCCAGCGTGGTTAGACTCGGAGAAACCGATGATGTCTGTTCTTCTAAAGAATACAATGCTGTCTGACTATTCTAGCCTTCACTCACTCTTTTATAGGTGCCCACCCCTAATTGATTTACGCCATAGTCTGATATCAGCTAAATTCCAAATATGGAATAGATATGCACCATACTCTGGATATCGGCAGGGATTGTTACTTAATTTGATCAGCAAATATGATATACTTTTTATAACAACGAAAAATGTAAATGACCAACATGTGTATTAATCTATAGCTCAGCTAACGTATCAAAATAACCATTTCTATATTTTTGGTTATGAACTCAGAATCAATAATTTGTTAAGATAACCATATTGTTTCAGCCATCATATTGCTCCATTTCTTGTCTGTGAATTTGAAAACAATGTCTCAACGATAAATATTGTTACATATACTGGCCATGAGCTGTTTAAAGTTCAGAATTGTCTGCTTAACAGCTAATTACTTTAAAATAACACCTTAACTTAATCACTTTCACGGTGGACAGTAAGAGTATTAATCAACGTGTGGCTGTAAGGCGCTGGTTTGCTACCGGTTTCGGGCGCGTGTCCAGAGGCGGGCACCCGCCCAGAAGGGCACGGTGACAACGAAATAATCTGCCTATATAAGGTGTAAAACCGTTTTTACCGTTCGATAAATTTATGATCTCCATGATGGGGATATCGGAAACACACACCACGAATTCATTTAATTTGTGCGCCGCCCCCCCCCCCCCACACTCTTTCGATAAAAATGGATACGAACCAATATCTATACCATGTATAATAGCATCTATCGTTATCAAACCCATACAAACGAGGAAGATGACACTGGTGTTGTTAACGTGATAAAAAGCGACACGTTGATAGTATATCTCTCATTTTTATCTCTACATCAGATGTTTTGGTAATAAGTAATAGATATAAGTATAAGTACGGTTGTCTATATCCATTTATTTGTTATCTAATCATAATGTAGGGATGTAAAATAATGGCTAATGTTCGTCTTAATTGTGTTATTATTTTAGTATCCTTCATACTTTATTACGTTACAGGTAAGCCATTCCTTTTCAAATAATCATACATTTATTAAAGACAAGTTAAAGCTTCGATTTCTCAGAAAGTAATAGTCCTTTTCGATACGTCAGATGGCTATTAGTCCTTTTCTTCATTTAAATTTGAACAAAAATAAGGGCTAAAAAGTAATCATTATATATTTAATTTTACCGTTAAATAATAAAAAAAACACTAGGAGATGAAAGATGAAAGCGAGTTCTTTCCACGTAATTAGAAAGCGCCAGGAACTTTGGATGTGGTCATAAGTTACCATGGAATCATTAAAAAGAAAAATGAACTTGATAGGTGATCGAAACCTACCTTGAAATCAATTGGAAGTAATAGGAACCTTACCACGAAATCATTAGAAGGAAACGGGGTCTTTAGGTGGTCATAACGTACGTAGAAGGTCCACTTTAACAATTTTAGACCAATAACCTTTTTGACAAGACTAGACTACTTTGTATTGGGTATGGAGCGAAGGTTCGTATAGTACGCGTGTATGTGTTTGGTAACATATATCAGTTGGCTCTGATACAGAGAGCAAGGACAAAATATCCATGTTGGAATAGATTGGGTGAGGCGGATGGTTTTCTGTGTTCAGATTTATCAGCTACTCACCTGGTCGCTTCACAGTACGCAGTAATCTTCAATATTCATAGCAGATGGTATTCAAAGAACAATAGTTGGACAGAATTATCGTTCACAGCACAGTCCATATACGACCAAACGACCACATCGGTTGTTCAGTCTACTCGCGTATACGACATGCATCAAATCTGTATCCTGGGATTCCAATTCAGTATAAAGATCGCTTCGCTAGCAACCGGTCGTCGTTTTTTTATTCCATTCATTTAGAAGTAGATGTCTGAAAATCGTCAAGCGTGAATCAGACTTTTCTACTAAGCTGAAAACTATATAATGTATTGTACAAGCTCAATACTGTTTTATTGAACACCAATGTGTATTGATTTCGCTGCAAACTTTATTATTGAACACTATTGGTTATTATTTTCGCTGAAAACTGTATTATTTATTGAACACTATTGGGTACTATTTTTGCTGAAAACTGTATTATTTACTCTACACTATTGGGTACTGTTGGTGTTGAAAAGTGTATTATTTATTGAACACCACTGGGTATTTCTTGACCCACAAACTTGATTAAGTAGGGCTTAATGGTCGACAACAAGACATTAAGTAATGGTACACCACTAAGTAATGATCACCACGGTTTGATTTCAGCTCTAGAAGTATGTGAAGATCATTATGTTAGTTGTCCACCCACAAGCTGTGGTGGTTATCCCCTCGAGGCTTTGTACAGAACAAACTGTATGAAAACTTGTGGGGTCTGTACTGGTAAGTCTAATTCTCAAAGTGTCTCCAACCCACCTTCCTTTTCAGTTTACTTACAAACCCAGCAAACCACTTTAACCTTTCGATATCAATTCGACATTTTTAGTTTGAATGAAGTAGGCTTGAAAATTATCTTTTGACCCATCAATGTCTATGGGTTTTGATGGCCGAAAGCTTTGTGCGTGCGCGCTGTATCATAAGGTCCGTCATTGAGTCAGCTGGAGTGGTTTCGATACGTGACAAGGAGTAGGGTTGCCTGTCCAATCTCGAGGGTTTTCTCCTGGTCCTCCGGTTTCCTCCTACTGCTAAAGACCTCTACGCGCAAGCGAATTATTGAAATAAAATTGAACCATACGTTAGTCCAGAAACGACCTAGTTTGTGTCGAGTGGACGTTAAACCCCATTTCGATCCCCTCAATGTCTACATCCAAAAATGCATGAGACCGGATGATTCACTATTGTACTTATGAGCAATGAGTGGCCCATTATACTCTCTGATTCAAGCTCGGCAAGTTCATCTATTAAGTAAAATTATCTTCTTGTGGGACAGATAAACTACCCCCACCGTACAGCCCTCGCCCCTAGAAGTGGTCGACTACCATTCCACTAAATTAAACCGAAACGTCAAAATAATTTCCTATATTAGAAAAACTAGATATACTCAGATAGTCATTGCCCCAGAATTTGATATCACATTTACTGAGATTGTTCTAAATTTTCATTACAAGCAGGGTTAGGGTTAGTCCCCTTTCACCCAAACACGCCCACACATCGTTACTTCTGATGCAAGTTTTATACTATGAATTATAGATGTGAATCGAGCATTAGGTAAACCAACAGTCCAGAGTTCACCACCAGGTAGTAGTAATTCTAACAGAGCTGTAGACGGGGATATAAACAGTGACTATAATGGCAATAGTTGTACATTAATAAATGGTACCGGACAAACTCCTGATTGGTGGTGTGTTGATTTACAGAATGTATATGACATTGATAGTGTAAAGATATATAACACTAATAATCGTAAGTATATTAATTCTATTTAACCAGTTAATATGTTTTGGGACCAGCGTAAATTTGGGTCGAATTTAATTTTCCTTTCGTTAATTTCCAAGGACATTTAACTCCCACTGCTAAAGACCCCTACACGTAACCGAAATATTGAAATAAAATTGAAGCATACGCTAGTCCTGAAAAGACCTAGTGTGTGTCGATTCGACGTTAAACCCCATCTTGCGATTGTGCCACTTAACCGGTATTGCAAACTGTTTCTATGTTAAGGTGTTTATATTTTCAGTTCAAAGGCGACTTCAGGGTTTCCAGATGAAACTAGGATTATATGGCGTATGTGATTCTCGAGGCTTTGGATCAGCCACCACGTGTTACACTGAAGCTGGTCAGTCTAGTAAAGATATTTACACTATAACGGATTGTAATCATGCTTCACCTATACCTCTAGTAGGAAGATTTATATATGTCAGCATCAGTGATGAAATCAAGAACTCTGTACTCTCACTCTGTGAGGTCCGTGTTACAACAGGTTCGTATTCTGTGATACCTGCCATTGCCGGGAGTTTCCGTGTTCCATCCCCGTGTTGACCGAGAAAGCTCATCGCGAGTATTTTCCTTCGTAGTTCCCTCTTGTCAGTTGTGCAGGACGGAAGATCTGGTAAAGGGACAACGTATAGTCTTTCGGATTGGCGTGAACGTAAAAGAACCTATGTCGGTTGGAATTCGATATAAGAGTAGGTCGTAGCGCCTCTGCTCAGGCAGTATTTTCTTCATGACACACTGTATAACATAGCCGCCTTCATTAGCCTGGTCGGAACAGAGCAATAGGACGTTTTTATTTCATTTCACCTGTCATAGCTTCAGCGGCTTATTGAATCCCGTCGAGAACTATCACTCTCTTTCGTATCAAACAGCGGCTGGTGTCACGCTCGATATAAGCATTACCCCTTAGCTTCAGCCTATTAATAATTCCAAGTGCGAACTATCGCTCTCTTTTTAGCATCAAGTACAATCTAGTGTCATACTTGGTATGGGTTATCCTTACGCTTCTGGAACAGCTAATGCCACTACTGATCTACATAGGAAACTCGCACGAATGGCAATGATAGCATACCCATTCAAGAAATAGACTGTACGGGCATCGGAAACAATACAAGCTCTGGAAATACTATTCTGATTGTTCGTTAATTTAACTCAATTTTCTATAATGTGATGTGCTTTAAAGCATACTCTCTATCGCATTCTAACTGTCAACAGATCATTCAAGTGACTGATTGTCAAAAGTTCTTGGAACTTTGGTTGTTCGTTCAATCCGAACGACTAGACGCTGTTTCGTGCCATGCCCCCGTCCTGCAACACTGTCAAGCGGAAACCACGCTTTAATATACCGATGGTCTTCCGCTGCCAACACGCTGATGGAACACTGGCCCTCCTGGTTACTAAGCCAGTGCATTTCACCGAACGACGATGGCTCAAGGAAAGTTTTACCCCGTGTATCTTTACTGATACATAAAATAAGCAATACACCACTTTCGTATTTTCGTTTTATTTACTCTGTAAGAATAAGGGGAGCCACGGTGGTTAAGACGCCGGCTCGCTAGCCTGGAGGTCGGGTGTTCGATCCCTGCATTGGCCGAGAAAGTTCATCTTGATTTTCCGACGTGGTTTCCCCTTGTCAGTGATGCAGAACGGAGGGCCTGACAAGGACAGTTGTCTAGTCCTTCGGATGATACGAAAAAACCGAGGTCCCGTGTATACATTGGAATGCACGTAAAAGATCCCTTGACAGTTGGAATTCGATATAAGAGTAGGCAATAGTGTCGCTGCCCGGGCAAAATTTCCCTCATAGCACACTGTTTGGCGTATGCCCGTCTTCATTAGCCCAGTATAGGAGTAGAATAGTAGGACGTTAAACCCCATTTCATTTCATTTCATGTAAGAATAGACATGAATTAGTTTCGAAAATGATTATTAAAACGTAACATGGTTTCATTCCAGGTACCAAATGTAGCGCAGGTTACTACACATATAACACAACTTCCTGTTTACCATGCGATACCTGTAAAGAGAACTCGTGTAATCCTGATAGTGGGGTATGTGGAGATGGCTGTCTGGTTGGTTATACCGGAAGCATGTGTCAGACATGTGAGGATGGACTATTTGGTCCAGTCTGTCGATATGCTTGTAACGTGGAGGCATGTAGGGGTAACTGTGATAGGGAAACTGGCGCATGTCACGAATGTAAACCAGGTTACCATGGCACCAACTGTGAATTGGAATGTAACAAGGAATGTGTCCATGGAAGATGTCTGAAAGCTGATGGAACTTGTTTTACTAGTAATAAGATTTAATTACTATGTTAATTGCACTTGTACATATGTTAATTTAGCTAAAGTCATATATGTTGATTTTCAGACGTTTCAGGGTGGCTCAGTGGGTAAGCCGCTGGCTCGCTAACCGTGAGGTTGGCCGAGAAAGTTTCTTGAAAACTTTGTGGTTTTCCCTTGTTAGTGATGCAGGATCGGGGGCTTGGCAAGGCCAGTGTCTAGTCGATCAGTTGGGACGAAACCAGTGCACGTACAAGAACCCCCGACAGATAGAATTCGAAATAAGAGTAGGCGGGAAAATGTTCGAAAAAGGATCCGCTGTTGTATCAAGTACGATCAAAATACGACTAAGCAGGACTGTTCCTCGGACATACGACTAAGCAGGACTGTTCCTCGGACAATTCGATTTTTGATATGACCGCACAATTCTAGGATGGCTGCGATGACGTTCTGTTTTTTTATTTTACAGATGTAGTAACCGAAACGAAAGATGAGAATCATGTTGATGAAGGAATGGATCGATCTGTTGTAGGTGTTATAGGAGTTATTAGTGGAATAATAATCACCTGTCTTCTAATACTCGTACATTTTATTATAATAAAAAGGTTAGTTAGACAGATTGAATATTAATATTACATCAGTTCAGTACAGAGAGGGAGAGAGAGAGAGAGAGAGAGAGAGAGAGACTCAACACAAACTAGGTCATATGGTTCGCTTACGAGTAGGTGTCTTTAGCCGTGGGAGGAAACTGTGCAGATTGGATGTTCTATTTTTAATAAACATGTACAAAGATTACGCAGTACAATTTTCGCTCTAGTCGATATTCTCACATAATCATTCCTTTCTTGACAAAAGGAGGTGCTGGAACATAGATTTTGACACAATATTTTATCATACCATGAACCTAAAATAGCCCAAATCCCATATTTAACAGGCGACCATGTGGAATCCAAAATCGTGCAGAAATTGAAGTGATATAGCGTTTGAAAGACAACATAAAAAAAACTACATGTATTTGCGTGCTATTTTCAAACAGTAAACGATTTTTCACCTATTCTATTGGTTGCCCTCCCATTGATAAGCAGGATGAGCTATTTAGCTTTTATTGCGATTCTTTTTGTTTTAAGATTTCATTATATTATTAAAATCATTTATTTTGTATATCGGAATTCAATTTACCTCACCACATCCATCCAAATGCCACCCCTTTGTATCATTATGTTTCTGGGTTTGCTATTTGGAATCTAGTTTCTATGTTTTCTGGGTTTGCGATTTGGAATCCAGGGAGACTAATTCGATGGTTTAGTTGATTTATAGTTTTAAGACACCCAGGACAAATCGTATAGTAAATGATATATTTGGATTTGCAGTCTATTGATTTTTTTTCGGTAAATACTTCGGTATGACTTACCTGAAATATTAGACAATAGCTATCTTTGATAAAACCGGAATTGTGTGGCTCGCCGTTTAATTTATATCTCCAATTATTACGAATTTTATTTTTTTCAGACACAAATTCTACAAGGTAAATGACAGACCTCCATCTTTTAGAGCTCCGTCTATTCCTCCAGAAACTCCAAAACGTCACGATTCGCTTCAACCTGTTTACACCGTGTCATCCCATATGCGCTATGTAGATCTTGATGACACTGATAATCAGTTTGATTCCATGTCTGATGTGGGCGGTACACGATCTTTACCGACCAGCATGATCGAGAGATCAGCTTCGGAAACACGACCTGTACAGAAAAGGATGATGGAGAGACCACCCTTGGAAACACCAGACGAGTTGATCAAGAAGAAACGATTGGAGTCTCAGTGTAGTCAAATATCAGAGTGTAGCATTCACGTGGAATACAAGAATGAATCGTTTAAGTCGGATGGAGACATTACGTGTGATTACGAAATGGTCAAGAATGTAAAAGAGCCAGAGCATGTTTATGACAGTAAATAAATATATGACCCATTTTTTATATTTTTTTTAAGCAAAACAAACTAAAATGAAATGAAATGAAAAAAAAATGTTTGTTAAATTTTGGTTTTCTCCTTGGAATTAATATTGTTGCTATAAGGGCGTATTGGAGTATTTTCCATAGTGACTTCCCCTTCTCAGTGTTGTCGGACAGAGTGTCTTGCGAGGGATAGTGTATATTGTTCGGTTGGGACATAAAACCGAGATCCCCGGTTGAAATTCGATATAAGACACTTTATGGCGCATACCCGTTCCCATTAGCCCCTTTACTGCAGAAAAGTAGGACGTTAAAGCCCACTTCATTTTCCAGTTTTAACTTCGGGCATTATTATTATTATATTTCTTTTCGATAAACGTTACGCGACAAAAATAAACATGTTATTTTATCATTTTATTTTTTTATTTTTTATTTTTCTTAAACAGGTTAAATTGAACAGATTATAAAAATTATTTCATGGATTGAATATATAGTAACAATAAAATCACAAATTGAATAAATAATAACAATAATATCACAGATTGAATAAATAATAACAATAAAATCACAGATTGAATAAATAGTAACAATAATATCACAGATTGAATAAATAATAACAATGAATATCACAGATTGAATAAACAGTAACAATAATATCACAGATTGAATAAATAATAACAATAATATCACAGATTAAATAAATGATAACAATGAATATCACAGATTGAATAAATAGTAACAATAATATCACAGATTGAATAAATAATAACAATAATATTACAGATTGAATAAATAATAATAATAATAATAATATCACAGATTGAATAAAATAGTAAAAACAATGTCAACGATGGAATAAATAGTAACAATAATATCACAGATTGAATAAATAATAACAATGAATATCACAGATTGAATAAATAATAACAATAAAATCACAGAGTGAATAAAGAGTAACACAATATCACAGATTGAATAAATAATAATAATAATATCATAGATTGAATAAATAATAACAATAATATCACAGATTGAATAAATAGTAAAAACAATGTCAACGATGGAATAAATAGTAACAATAATATCACAGATTGTATAAATAATAACAATAAAATCACAGATTGAATAAATAGTAACAATAATATCACAGATTGAATAAATAAATAACAATAATATCACAGAGTGAATAAAGAGTAACACATAACAAATATATCACAGATTATAGATAAATAGTAACAAAAATATCACAGATTGAATAAATAGTAAAAACAATGTCAATGATAGAATAAATAATAACAAAAATATCACAGATTTAATAAATAATAAAAATATCACAGATTTAATAAATAATTACAATAAAATCATACTTATTTTTTTTACATTCCATTTTTTCCCCTTTTTTATATTATTTTATTCTGTTTCAAATAACATTTGATTTAGCCTGGTCTATTATTTGTTAACCAGCATCCCTTTTTCTTTACTTTTTTTTATAATATTATTCGTTTCTTTTTTTTTCTAATATTTTTCTTCTTTTTTTCTAATATTTTTCTTTTTTTTTCCTTCTCGAATTTTTTTTTTTGTTTTTGCTTTTTTTTGTTTTTTTGTTTGTTTTTTTGTTTTTTTGTTTTTTATTAGTAGTATTTACAATAAGATATTTATATGTATATTAATACAGGATTATATTTATATTAACAAAAAATTTATTTTTCTGGTACATTACTAAATGGCATACTTTAAATTCGTTGATAGTCTCGAAACTCCTATTTCAAATACCATATATTATGTTTTTGTGGAGATTATAATTTGTAAGCATAATCAAAAATATTTCTCTATTTACTAATGTCCACTTTAATCCGTTATGGCTCCTAGTAGGCAGAATCGTGGATCGAAAACCTGCAAATTTATAAGAATTACTAAAATTCTGTATAATTTATTTAAACATTTTATAATCCCAGATAATATCTCGTTCCATATTTTATGACGTATATTATTATTCACATTAATGATTTCACAGTTCATGGGTTTTCATCTCAATTGTGTAACCAAACATTTTAATTGTGTATCACATTTAACCGACATGGAAGATTTATACCTTGATAGCTACACGTGTAATGATTTTCCGTGATCTTCCAATTTTCGAACGTCTGTAGTTTTATCTAAAGATATATCAAATAGTTTATCCTGAGTGCATTTTTTAAATGGTGAAATCTTTCATATTCAATACCCCCATTTTCTATATTCAGTAGTTAATCATATTCACTTCTTGTATATATCACAATAATATCTACAGCTTGAAAACACCAAAACCTTTCTTTTAGTAATATTCGTCCTTAATACTTTATCATCAACATACACTGTACCAACAACATCTTAAAAAAATCATTGTTATTTCTAATTTACTACTGTACACACGATGATTCCATCTTCTCTTGTCTCCGCTTTCCCTTGCGTACAAAATTAATTTTTTTCTTAAATGTGCAGTAAATTAACTTCATTTTTATATTCTGCTTCTTCTAATGAGAATACAGCTTCCATGGCGAAAATAAATTGCTTTAACCACAGTTTTAATTTATGATTCCAGTGGGTCCTATTCTTCCTCGACCATTAAAATTATATTTGTTGTTCTCCATTGATCATCTTTAAAAGTTACACTGCTGTCATCATAAAATTGCTTCCAAAGTCAAATTCACTTACTTTATAATTTCACTATTTTTCTTATATTTGTCCTGCAATCTGACATCTTCATACATTTGTGGGTATTCAGTGTTTTTGTCACTTACTATTTGGTTCCCCTTTTCACTCAGTTTGTTTCCTTCATCTGGTATCTTTGATACTTCTCAGCCTGGCTCTCAGCTCGATCTGATCAAAATCTACTGACTGTAGTACAGGTTATCTCCCTTTATATTCAGGTTATTGGTGTATAATAATCAGGTAAAACAATAGAAGAGATTAACAGATTATCGTCATGGTGAAATCAGGTAGTAATTATTTGTGTAATATTGATGGTTAATTTATAATTCAACAATCTAATATAATTGACAGCTGAATAGACCAATTGTTGTAATAACAAGATTATACAGGAGAAATAAAATGGATGAATAAAACAGATAAATGACGAATTGTTGTAATAATAAGATTTTACGGGAGGCAGAGAGAGAAAATGGATGAATAAACCAGATGATTGTCTGAATAGGCAACTGAAAAGACCAACTGAAAATACCAAAATTGTATTGCAGGGAGAAATGAAATGGGATTTAACGTTCTTCATCTCTGCACCGACAGGGAAAATGAAGACAGGTCGACGCCATACAGTGTGCTATGAGGCACGGTGTGCGGCTGTATAATCTAGGCCTACTCTTATTTCGAATTCCAAATGCCACCGCGCTTTAAAGTTGCAATTTCATATTTTTAAGTTATATTTTTAAATAGTATTAAAATAAAGCCTTGAAATAGATGGTATCTATAAACAGTCCTACCTTGTTAAAGAATAATCCTATTAATCCTATAATTCACTATTGCCAGTTGAGAAATTGGCAAAAATATCATTTTCAACTTCAAATTCAAACGTTTGAAAATAGCTATTCCATTGGGGGAATAGGAAAAACAGGGAGGTAAATGTGTTATTATTTCCGGTGTCAATGAATTTTAAGTGTGGGAAATAATGTCTATGATCGTATAATAGAGAGTTGACAACCTATTGAGCAAAAGACATAGAAATAATTATGTTTTGACTTTCTTAGAAAATATGAAATTCTCGCTTTAAGGGGGAGAGGGCACATAGATGAATAAATTACACAAATGAATAAACAACACTGAGTAATAACAATACTTAAGCGAGAGAGAGAGAGAGAGTGTGTGTGGATGAATTTAGAGAGAGAGAGAGATAATGGACGAATTTAGCACACAAATGAATGAAATGGCTATTGGATTGACCAATTGTTATAATAACAATATTTTACTGGAAAGACATAGTTTAAATTAGATGAAATTAAATCAAATGGGGTATAACGTCCAAGTTTTCTGCTTCAACCGGGCTAATAAATTTTGACGTTTGTGCCTAATCTTCATCGATTTCCGACTGGCAAGGGTTCTTTTACGTTAACGCAAACATGTACACAGGGGTTTTTCATCACATCCGAAATGAAATGAAATGGGGTTTAACGTCCTACTGTTCTGCTCCTACACTGGGCTAATGAAGGCGGGCATACGCCATACAGTGTGCAATGAGGGAAATTTTGCCCGGGCAGCGGCACTATCGCCTACTCTTATATCGAATTCCAACTGCCAAGGGATCTTTTACGTGCATTCCAATGTTTTCACGGGACCTCGGTTTTTCGTCTCATCCGAAGGACTAGACAGCTGTCCTGCATCACTGACAAGGGGAAACCACGTCGGAAAATCGGGATGAACTTTCTCGGCCAATGCAGGGATCGAACACCCGACCTCCAGGCTAGCGAGCCAGCGCCTTACCCACCTAGCCACCGTGGCTCCATCATCACATCCGAACAACTAGACCATGTTCTTTGCGAGCCCCCACCCCATCTCGTCCTATACCACCGATTTTACGAGAGAGATAGTAGATGAATAAATTAGACGAATGAATGAATTAGTTGACAGCTGAATAGACCAACTGTTATAATAACCAGCATGTTGGGGATATAAATATTTTACAGCCTGAATAGACCAAATGTTGTAATAACCAGCATGTTGGAGATATAAATATTTTACAGCTGATTAGATTAGTGAAGTAATACATGGTTGAATGTACATGTATGTAATTGACACGTGATAAAACAAACTACTGTAATAATATGATGATAGTAGTGGAGAGATAGAAAGAATGAATGAATAATACAGATACGAAATCAATGAATAATTCATGAATGAATATATTTGAAATCTACAAAACTAGGATATTTTTAGTTTTAGAACCCAATTTGCTTGTCTCCTAAAGAATTTCAAACTGGATCGAGATAAACGAATCCTCATATTGTGGGGTGGATCCTTTGGGTTCAAATTGGCTCCATTCATAGTCCAACAACACATAGCATATCATTTGTCTGTGGAATACAATCCGGATATATTTAACATTTTGTTCGTTTCTCGAATCAGAAACAATATAAAATAGGGTTTAGCATCCTATTCTTCTGCACCAAGCGGGCTAAGGAAGACGCGGGCGGGGGGGGGGGGTCCGAATGGTTAGCACGTGCGCGCTGTATCATGAGGTCTGTGATTGAGTCAACTGGCGTGGTTTCGATTCCCCGATTGAACGTGACAAGGAGTAGGGTCGCCCGTCCAACATCGAGGGTTTTCTCCGAGTCCTCCGGTTTTCTTCCCACTGCTAAAGACCCCTACGCGCAAGCGAATTATTGAAATAAAATTGAACCATGTGTTAAACCTCATTTCTCTCTCTCTCTATTCTGAATTTACCCTGGGCAATTCCAACTTCCAAAGGTTCTTTTACGTATCATATTTTGCATACCGATAGTTCATTGGCCAATCACGCTATTTTACCGACATTTCGCCTAATAGTTTGGATGCAGCTATGGCGGGTGTGGTGCCAGACAGGGTAAGCTTACTCTTCCGGACACCTGTTACAACTGTTTGTCGTGTATTTTGTACACGAGGAACAGTCCATTTGCTGATTGCACTATTTTGCTTGAATACACTATTTTGCCTATAACGTTTTTTTAGGACTTCGAATTCTGTCTTATGGTTTGGATTGTTCGTACTTGGTTTTATTTTATTGAATGATTGGAATCAAGAAATGTAATTTAAATTCTTGACAATCAAACTTGCCCCTACTTTCCGCAAGTTGTGTCGGATAGAATAAAATCAAAATTATAATTAACATAAACAGTATTAAAACTATCAGATTAACGTGTAATCCTTTAAATATAATATAAACAGTAAATTAGTTAAACTGATGGATTATCTATTAATCGTGTTAAAAGTAATATAGAGATCATTATAAGAATTAATGGATGTCATGTCAACTATATACACAGTTTGTACAAATCATGTCACTTGGTGTCGTAAGGTCATTTCTGCACATCTATATAAATAAAATCAAAGCCCGTGTGTATATATGTTCGCCCACCGCATTCCACCCACCACTCCCCCACCCTCACATATGTCGTATCAAATAAACCAGCATGACCCCGTGAATGTTTTAGGCCATCGAAATTGGGCCCCGGGCGAATTTGGGCCAAGGGAAATTTGGGGCAATCGCGAAGCCGGGTATCTTGCTTGTTCTGAATATGGCGAACGTATTCTTCTATTCTGAATTTGGGGGTTGGATGGTCGAATGGTTAGCACGTGCGCGCTATATCATAAGCTCTGTAATAGAGTCAACTGGCGTGGTTTCGATTCCGCGGTTGTACGTGACAAGGAGTAGGGTCGCCTGTCCAACCTCGTGGGTTTTTTTCCCGGGTCCTCCGGTTTTCCCCCACTGCTAAAGACCCCTACGCGCAAGCGAATTATTGAAATAAAATTGAAGCATGTGTTAGTCCCGAAATGACCTAGTTTGTGTCGAGTGGAAATTAAACCCCATTTCTCTCGCTCTCTCTATTCCTAATTTACCCTTCTATAAACACTGTATTTTCTAACTTATACAAATTTATTGTCCTGTTCTGAATTTATTCCTGTATAAACACTGTATATTCTGAATCAGAGGAATTTATTCTCCTATTCTGAATTTATCCCTGTATAAACACTGTAGTTTCTAACTAATACGAATTTATTGTCCTATTCTGAATTCATCCCTTTATAAACACTGTATATTCTGAATCAGTCGAATGTATTCTCCTATTCTGAATTTATCCCAGTATAAATAATCTATTTATAAATATGACGAAACATGATATAGATTTTTATATGGCCAGTTCTAGATAATCAAATAAACGTTATAATTTTATAAATTGTGTATTTGTATATTTTGATAAATATTGTCTAGATTGTTAGTTGGTCTTTTGCGTGTCTGAATATTTAAATTGTTTTGAATGAATAAATAGATTTGTTTTCAAAGTACAGAGCTATCAACATCTTTGCAGTCGCCGTTTTAAAATGAAACAACCGATTGAATAGATAATTGACTTCAAATAAGTCAATCAAATTAAGTTGTATTATTAACCAGTTCGGTCTGCAGATTATATCTAGATAAAAGTCGCCGACTGATTCAGGCTCATCAATGAACTAATGTTCACTGACCAAGATTAGCTCCCACCGACTAATCCAGACTTACCAATTAAATCTGATTAAAACCACTCACAAGCAGGAAATATACCTAGTAACGTTCACTGGGCCAGATTAGCACTTGAGATGAAAGTAGCCGACTGATCCAGGCTCGTTAATTAAATATAATTAATTGATTGACTTATTGGTGATGATCGTAAGTCCACAACATGGTGACTAAATTTAACCGATGATCAACTCCTTGGAAATAATGCAGTCAAATCGAATTAAATTTGAACTTGTTGCCGGTGTAAATCTCTGCACGAAATCAGGGTATTGTTTCTGTTTCTTGCTTAGAAACACGTCTTGAACTTTTCGCGTAGCTTTTGTCTACAAATAATGACTAACTAACGCTTTTGCGAAAGGAGGTTGTGTAGTCTAGTGGTTTAACGCGTGCGCGTGAAATTATATGATCATTGAGTCAAGAGGCATGGCTTCGATTCCTTGCTGGTACGTGACAAGGAGTAAGGTTGTCTATCCAACCTTGTGGGTTTTCACCTGGTCCGCGGTTTCCTCCCACTGCTAAAGACCCGTACTCACACGGATACCATCGAGATATCCGACTAATATCCGAATCGCTTTTCGGTTTGGTTTATAAATCTCCTACAACAAAACAGAGGGCTTACATAATTGTGGACAGAGAGACCGGCGGACGGGTCAACAATGTTGACGACAAAAGACATTTGTTAGAGGTTATAACACAGATTAAGGGCTGAATATAGTAACGATATTTTTATAATAATTTATTTAACAAGTTACACATCATTTCTGTACATTTATAATATTATAATAGATAAAATAATAATAATTTTCTACTATACTTGACGTACGAGTCACGATTTAAAAAATAAACATCATTATTTTAGTCTTTTCTTCCAGTAAAGTATAATTGACACTTAAATCTGCATTTTGAACATATATTATTTTAACATTCTTGATGATACAAAAGATTTCAAAGATTGTCTCCCATTTTTCATCTCAAAAAAAAATTCCCGATGCTGTGTTGAATCGAGTCACAATTCATTATGAAAATAGGAAAACGAAGCTTAGGTCATAATTAATGTCATTGAAATATGATCCAATTTACTGATTTCCGAGATTAAATATCATTAAATATATTAGGTCACATTAAAAGTACTTGTATTCAATTTTCTACACAATCTGATTTTAAGTACAGATCTATATTTCGTTTCGTTTTTTTATCTTTCAATAGCCTCTACGACATGAAGATCAGACCAGTTGTAGGACGAGGTCGCGTCAGGGGCCATATGAGTCTCTTTTGACCCTATGACGTCAAACATTTAATTAACCAATCAGCGTTGATGTTTTTAGTGGATTACACACAGCTCCGTGCACCTCACGCCGAAAAATTGTCATAACAGACCATTTCATTGGCTAATCCCTCACATCAACCTGAACACGTGTTATATAACAACTCTTCCAGACAGTGCCGGACTGGGCCCACCTGTCCAACTGTCCGTGACAGGTGGGCCTAAGCTCATTAAAAAAAAGTGGGCCTAAGCCTATAAAGAAAAAAGAAAAAAAGAGAAAGAAAAAAGAAAATAGAAAGAAAGGAGAGGCGGGTAGAAAAGAAAGAAGGAATGAGAGGACAGGACACAGGACAGGAGAAAGAAAAGATAGGAAAAAAATGACTGACAAACAACACAAAAAAAGAAGTGTACTAGAATTCTCAAATTCATCTAATGATAGTGCTCTTAGGTCATTCTGTTATTTAATTGTATCAGGAAATCAAAAAATTGCCCTCTTCTGCTTTGGTCTGAAATGCTTGGAAAATGGGTTTGCGGTTGTCAATTTTCAAAATTTTCCTGGGGGGAGAACCCCCTGAGACCCCCTTCGGCGCGTACTTGTGTGGGCCTTAGTCAATGACCTGACAGGTGGACCTTCGGCTCACCAGTCCGGCACTGCTTCCAGATCCTAGTTTAGTAAAGACAAGTAAAACGAAATTTTGAACTATAAAAATCGAAACGAAATAGGATCTGTGTTTTAATCAGATGGCAATTTCTATTATACATGGTTAGATTACAGAAATATAGTTTGTCACATAATAATGGTTGGGATGGCTATGGGAAAGATCCACAGCGAACTTGGAAAACAAGGTGTTTGCGGTGTCGGGGAATAATTATTCTTACCTCCACCTCGGCATATTTTTATTAATAGGACCACGTACAACATATAACAACTATAGATACATTATATAAGATTTAGATAAAGACACGACCATTCTTGCTATAATAGCTCAAAAAATAGATAATGTAAAATGACAATATTGAAAATTTTATTCAAATTACTTCATTCTGAGCCAAGTTATCACTGTTTGTAGTTTTGACCAGATATGTGCATTGTGGTAACGAGGGCACTGGTATAGGGCTTTCCCATTTTTAAATCAAATTTTTAAATGGCGAATTGTTATAATCTAGTTAAAATCTCAAGTATCCGATGCCATCCAAAGTTGGTTATGGTCTTGGTTTGTTAATAAATGTCTAATATTTTATATAACATTTCAGGCCTGAAGAAAGGCCCGCAATAGGCAGATTTAGCTCTTGCATAATGTATGTTTAAATTGGAAGTCACATACAAACATTACTTTGACAATGATGTTACAGTTATTTTCTTGGTGAGTATGGTATTAAAACATCTTTAAGCTGGAACAATGACACACACGTTTTCGACGCTCCAACACTAGATTATGTTAGGGCACGTGACTGTTTTGGCGAAATTGTAGGTAAGGGTTAGGTAAGCATTAGAGCTAGATCCAGGGTTAGGGTTAGGATTAGCGCTAGCCCTGTTTACATCTCGTGACCTATGACGAAAAATTGAGCTGGCCTTATCATTTAGCACTAACCATTATAACGTGCACTATTTTCCGGTTCTTCTAATCATCGACCAGATTCATATCCATAACCCACCTTTCCTTGCCGGTCACGTTTTTGCAATATTTTTGGCGCTATTGACAAATTTAAGGATATAAGGATATACGTTCGTGTCGGTTCTTGCCGGTGATTAGCAGGACTGCCACACTCAAATGCTATCATTTTTGTGGTTTTCACACAGGATTTGGCTTTGTTTCTTTCGACATGTTCACTAAAAGATATCGGTGCAGCCTGGCCGCCTTCAGACTCTTCAAAACAGCCTCAATTAGTTCTACCAATGTTAATACACTAGCTCCAACACAGAAACCCATGTAACCCCCAAGCTGACTGATAATATCCCCAAAGTCGAACTCAGGTTCATGACTCGTGGTAGTCACCGCCGTGTCCTTAAAAGAAATTGTAACATAGATTAAGCTGCTGTAATCCGTGATGGAAGTTAACAGTTTACGAGGTCTAAACAGTACGGAAGAAAGTTCATAATCATATTTGATTTCCAAACACGGCTTTATACAGTCACTGAAATCAGAAGACGCATTATTAAAGTATGAGTCCCAAATGTCCAGTGCACAAGAATGTCTTTTAGCAACAGTACAGAATACACTTGAGTTATCATGATGGAGTGATTCTATAATACACCCACACAGCGACTGGGTACGATTAGTCAAACAATGAATAACACAACTAGCATGCGAGTACGGAGGACGATATTCGCCGAATCCTTGGTGTGGCTTGTCGACATGTAGACAATCCTGGTTCTGGTAAGAATTGTACGGACTGCTTAAATATTTATAACGCTTTTCAGAGACTTTAATCTGGTGATAATATCCTGGAGAAAGTCTGATGGATGGGGAGAGAGTATGGAATGGTTCATCAGGACGATGCAATATAAGGCGAACGCCAGCTGTTAAAGAGGCAAAAGCATACCTGTCTTGTTTTGTATCCAGAACTAATGCCATAATATCGTTGGCTTGAAACATCAGCGGTTTGTGGTGATGTGTCTCATTATAGTATCTATCGTTAAAAGTGAAACATTTTTCAATGGGTCCCCTGAAACTGACCGAGAATTGTGATTCTGGTTTTAGCAGTAATTGTCCATTTAGATATACCTCCAAAATCATATCATCGAACCTAAATCCCAACTTATTTAAATCACTCACTTTTGGTCTGAACAGTTCCCATTTCGAATCAGATGCATTAAGCGTTGGTGGAGACGACAACAATTGTTCTAAATATTCCAACAATAGCGGATTCAATTTATCAATGTTTTCTCCATCAAGCAATAGAGGATCCGATTTATTGAGGTTTTCCCGATCAAATAATATAGGATCCGATTTATTAAAGTCATTTTCGTCTAGCGGGTGCAAGTTGCAGATTGTGACAGCCGGGAATTCCAGTTTACGTTGATACCTCACACTTGCTTTGGTCTTAAAGTCATATTCCATATATTTCATATAGAAGGTACAAGTCGTGTACGTCAGGGTTCCAACCATTATCCCTAAACATAAAAACCACAGAGTTCTTTTCACCGGTCCATGCTGCTTAGTAACGATATTCTTACAGCCGTGCAATGAGGTTTCGTTTAGAAACTCTCCCCAAGTAGTTGAGAGGCGATGCCTAATACCCGACATTTTGCGCTGTAGCTGTTAGAGATAAGTGGTAATATCCTTTCTATCATCAGACACATCGATTGAGTTTTGGTGTGGCATTTAAATAGTTTTTATTGGATCATTAATCATTAATAATCTGCATGAACCAGTAGCGTTGATATTTTGATGACATTTCAAATTGTATTGGCTGTATTAATACTAACCAAGCCCCCCTTTCTAGTTGTCACTTGTGTTATCATTTATATCAAATACATTATATCGTGTGCTATTCCATTAGGCTTTCATAATTCATTTCGTGATTGTCAATAAGTTAGTTTTTATATTATTAGCCATTAGCTAATGTGGATTACCAGAATGAATCGTTTTAGAGGGATGGCGACATTACACGTGATTAAAAATTGATCAATAACGTAAGTGTTTTTCTCGTTGAAATGATTATTGTTGTCACAGTGGCACATTTGATAACTATACTTATATCATTAATCTTTAGAAGCATTTAGTAACTAGATAGAGCAATACTCAAAAACACATACTTATGGAAAAAAAAACAGCTATTTATTTATTTGGGCGACGTTTCGAAGAGTATTCTCTCAACGCTATCAAGCTAATCATGATAACGTTGAGAGAATACTCTTCGAAACGTCGCTCAAATAAATAAGTAGCTTTTTTTCCATAGGTATGTGTTGAATAAATAGAAACAACAATATCCCAGATGGTATAGATAATAACAACAATTAACGGATAAAATAAATAATAACTAGAGAATCACAGATTGAATAAATAATAACAATAATATCAGAGATTGAATAAAGCGTAACACGTTACAATAATATCCCAGATTAAATAAATAATAACAATAATATCACAGATTAAATAAATAATAACAGATTTATTACAGATTGAATAAATAATAACAGATTTATCACAGATTGAATAAATAGTAACAATAATATCACAGACTCAATGAATAGTAACAATATTATCACAGACTCAATGAATAGTAACAGTAATAACCACAGATTGAAGACTTAAAAAATAACAATGATTTCACAGATTAAATAAATAACAGCAAGTAAATAATAACCTATATATCACAGGTTGAATAAATAGTAACAATAATATCACAGATTAAATAAATAATAACAATAATATCACAAATGTTCCATATTTTATAGTTTATCATACTTTTATTTTCTATGCATTACAACACCACGATCTTCAATATTCAGTTGTTTATGATAACCGCATTCTATATGCATCACAATGTTACAATCTTCTGTATTCAGTAAAGAAGTTTAGCGTACCCACATCTTCTACTTCTATGCCACGTCACTACATTTTATTCATTTAGTTTCTCCTGGCTTTTCAAATATTAAGACTTTTTCCATAAAACAGTTTTATATTATACATGATTTTTTCTGACCCTAGTGTCTACTATCATTTCTGGTCCTAGTTTTTCCTTTTATTTTTGGTCCCAATGATTGTTTTATTTCTGGCCCGGCTGTCTTCAATCACAATTGGTTCTAATACCTCTTAGTATTACTGGTCCCAGTGTCTCCTATTATTTCTGGTCCTAGTTTTTCCTATTATTACTGGTCTTAGTTTCTCCTAGTATTTCTGGTCCTAGTTTCTCCTATTATTTCTGGTCCTAGTTTTTCCTATTATTTCTGGTCCTAGTTTCTATTATTTCTGGTCCTAGTTTCTCCTATTATTTCTGGTCCTAGTTTCTCCTATTATTTCTAGACCTAGTATTACTGGTCCCAGTGCCTCCTATTATTACTGGTCTTAGTTTCTCCTATTATTTCTGGTCCTAGTTTCTCCTATTATTTCTGGTTCTAGTTTCTCCTATTATTACTGGACCTAGTTTCTCCTATTATTTCTGGTTCTAGTTTCTCCTATTATTTCTGGACCTGGTGTCTCCTATTATTTCTGGTCCTAGTTTCTCCTATTATTACTGGTCCTAGTTTCTCCTATTATTTTTGGACCTAGTTTCTCTTTTTATTACTGGTCCTAGTGTCTCCTATTATTTCTGGACCTAGTGTCTCCTATTATTACTGGTCCTAGTGTCTCCTATTATTTCTGGTCCTAGTGTCTCCTATTATTAATGAACCTAGTGTCTCCTAGTATTTCTGGTCCTAGTTTCTCCTATTATTACTGGACCTAGTGTCTCCTATTATTACTGGTCTTAGTTTCTCCTATTATTTCTGGTCCTAGTTTCTATTATTACTGGTCCTAGTGTCTCCTATTATTACTGGTTCTAGTTTCTCCTAGTATTTCTGGTCCTAGTGTCTCCTATTATTACTGGACCTAGTTTCTCCTATTATTTCTGGCCCTAGTTTCTCCTAGTATTTCTGGTCCTAGTTTCTCCTATTATTACTGGACCTAGTGTCTCCTATTATTACTGGTCTTAGTTTCTCCTATTATTTCTGGTCCTAGTTTCTCCTATTATTTCTGGTCCTAGTTTCTCCTATTATTTCTGGTCCTAGTTTCTCCTATTATTACTGGTCCTAGTTTCTCCTATTATTACTGGACCTAGTTTCTCCTATTATTACTGGACCTAGTTTCTCCTATTATTTTTGGACCTAGTTTCTCTTTTTATTACTGGTCCTAGTGTCTCCTATTATTTCTGGTCCTAGTTTCTATTATTTCTGGTCCTAGTTTCTCCTATTATTACTGGTCCTAGTTTCTCCTATTATTACTGGTCCTAGTTTCTCCTATTATTTTTGGACCTAGTTTCTCCTATTATTACTGGTCCTAGTTTCTCCTATTATTTTTGGACCTAGTTTCTCTTTTTATTACTGGTCCTAGTGTCTCCTATTATTTCTGGTCCTAGTTTCTATTATTTCTGGTCCTAGTTTCTCCTATTATTACTGGTCCTAGTTTCTCCTATTATTACTGGTCCTAGTTTCTCCTATTATTTTTGGACCTAGTTTCTCCTATTATTACTGGTCCTAGTTTCTCCTATTATTTTTGGACCTAGTTTCTCTTTTTATTACTGGTCCTAGTGTCTCCTATTATTTCTGGTCCTAGTTTCTCCTATTATTTCTGGTCCTAGTTTCTATTATTTCTGGTCCTAGTTTCTCCTATTATTACTGGTCCTAGTTTCTCCTATTATTTTTGGACCTAGTTTCTCTTTTTATTACTGGTCCTAGTGTCTCCTATTAATACGTGTACTGGTGTCTCTTATTATTTCTGGTCTCACCCTTTCCTATTATTTCTGATTCCAGTGTCTCCTATTATTTCACCATCTCAGACTTTCCAAGAAATAGGCAAATATTGGCATTTTGAGACATACAAAGTGTAAAAAATGGACCATTTTGTAGAAAAAGGTAAAAGAAAGCCTAATCTTTAAAAATATTCCAATATTTTGAATATTTTGGATGTGACTTGTTTGGAACTCTTTAAATTTGTTTTGCAGAACTCTCATTTTGACAAAATTAAGAAAGAATCTTAAATTCTAGAACAAAAGGCCCATGGACCCGAGCTACAACCCGGTATACATAACTTTAAACTGTCTCCATTTCTGCAGTAATTTTTTTTTGATTCTATATTATAACAATATTGCAAAAATAAATGTGAAGCTACGAAGAAAACTATTTTGATGATATATGAACTTATAAAACTATATAGGAGGCAGACCACCATTAAATTTCACCATCTCGATACCCACAAATTGTAGCAATTCTCTCTTTGTCTCTTTTCCCCCCTTTTGCATGCCTATTTTTGTTGATTTTTTGGTCTAGAATGGACGAAGAGGGTTTGAATTAACACTTTCTGCCAGGCTTTGGTAAATATTCATGATTTTGAGGCGGAAGGATAACAGGGTTATCAGGTTGGGTACGGTGATATGTACGGCGAATAGTTACATGTTTTTAGTATGCTTCTTCAAGTTTGTGTATCTCAAAAATTTGGTTGTCAACCTCATACAAATTCTAGTACAAAGACATGACCATTTGTTCCTCTGCCTCTAGTGAAAAGCATTTAGTCCAACGAAAATTTGGGGAAAAGTTGCAGAGGTAGGCAAAGAGGTCAGAATTAATATTGAAGTCAACGGACAATTAATGGTTGTCTGCTACCATTTAGCTATTGAAGAGTTGTCTCCCTTCAAATCGAAAACCATTTACCACAGGAATGCGCATAGAACAGATTTGTTTTCCGACCATAGTTGGTTTTATTTTCCATTAATTGTAAACATTCATCATTCCACATATCTGTCGTTTGGTAATTAATCACTAATACTTTATTGTAAAATTAATTGATATGATAATATCTTATAATGTGTTTTACTTTGATAGGCATTTTCATCTACGAGAGAGGGAAAGGCGATAGAATGGGTAGCAAGATATATCACCTATGCTACATTAGCTTTGAGGTTGTTTCTTTTTTCGAAAACAATTGGTATAACCAAATATTAACCGATTTTGAACATGGGATGCATATATACATAATACGAGCATAGAAGAGACTCGTAGACGACTGTATTTTAATCTTAAAAGATTCCCACGAGGTTATTGATAAACTGCATAGATAGCTTAACGTGCTGGGTAAAGATACGTACTTTACTATTAGAACATGTCCATAAAGGTTTTAGATGTTACAATGGTGTCAAATAATGTCGAATTAAACACTGACCTATACTATAAGTCAACCGATACACACCAATACTTAAAGGCTTAATACCACTCTTGTTGTAACTGAATAATATGTCCCAATCTTTATTCTGGTCAACAAATTGTACTATTTTACAATATTCCAATTGATTGATGATACAAATTTCATCTTAACACACCTAATTTAAAAAAAAATTGGAAAAATTCAACTAAATGATTTGAAAAACCTAACGTAAACCTTTTCAAATGTGACTTGGATTTAAAAATATTTTTGAACCCTCTGGACAAGTAAAATAGGATTTAATGGATAATTTACACAACAGGTAGGACACTAACACATCTAGTACTTAGAATAAGGCTATTATTTATTTTCTGGAGCTGTCAAGCCAG